ATACATTGTTGGAGGGAATGTAAATTTGTCCAACTACTCTGGAAAATAGTATGGACATTCTTTAAAAAAAAACTAAACACAGCATTACCCTGTGATCCAGTAATTCCACTTATAGGCATTTATCCAAAAAGATTACAAACCAGGATACAGTAAAGTCACTAGCACAATCACCATAGCCAAGATATAGAATCAGCTTAGATGCCCTTCCATGGACAAATGGATCAAGAAAATGTGGTGTAGGAGCTGGGAATGAGACTTAGTGGTAGAGTGCTTGTCTAGCATTTGTGAAGCCCTGGGTTCAATCCCTCAGTACCACATAAACAGAAAAAGCCAGAAGTGGCTCTGTGGCTCTTAAGTGGTAGAATACTAACCTTGAGCAAAAGAAGCTCAGGGACATGCCCAGGCCCTGAGTTCAATCCCCAGGATTAGCAAAAAAGAAAATGTAATACACACGCACACACACACACACACACACACACACACACACACACACACATACACACACACACACACACACACACACACACACACACCACACACACTGGAATTTTACTCATCTATCAGAAAGAATGATGGTCCATTTATAAAGAAATGTAAAGACCTGAAAAAAAAATTAAGTGAAGTTAGTCCAATCTAGAGAGACAAAGGTTTTATATGTGGAAGACAGGAAGTTATAAGCTTATAAGCATGTGTGGAACACAGGAAGCTTATATAAGTTTATAAGCTTATAAATGCATTATGTCGTATACAAGAGTATACAAATGTATTTACTGAACTATGGTAGATTCAAAGGGGAATTCAAGTAGTATAATTCCTTAGAAAAGCAAAGTCAAATTCAACAAAATAAACACCAGGAAGGGAGTACCTGAAAGGGGTAGGTAGGGTCATGGAGAGAGGGGAAGACAAATGAAGAGAAGGGGAGAATGCATTCAAGGATTCAGTGTATATCCTACAGAATTAAGAAGAGTGAGGGGAGGGGCAGGGAGGGAGGGATGGTTCCGAATGTTGAAAGGGATGACATTGATAAAGATGAATTGTATTCATACATTGCTTTGTTAAATGGCAACTATTTTGTTCAACTATTTAAACATAATTAAAAAATTTTAAATACATCTTCTATTTGCCCTTTTGAGCTCTCCACCTCATCCAGGAAGATCTTCCCTAACTTGTGTCTTTAAAATTAAAAATCTCCTAGAGCCTGAACCTTCTTCCCTCAAACAAGAATTAGACAAATACAAGATTTTAAGTAAAAAAAAAGTATGAAAAACATACATGTGTAAAAGTATTTTTTTTGATTCAAGTGTGCACACACACAAATCATTTGGGAATCAGACTCAAGTGAAAATTCTGTCAGTAAGTTCCAAATGGACTTCAAACTCTTCAAGTCTATGGAGCCATGTGGTCTAAAAGTTGCACTTTGAGAACTGAGGATCTGAAAGACTGATTTCAAAGTCTCACAGTTTTAGTTCTCCTACTTTATCAAACAAAGAGTTTGAAATGAAGACCATTTTCAATTCTGTCCAACAAAAACATCATAAGTCATGGAGAGCGGAGAAGGCTGGTGGGTGCCTACAGCACCTCTCTGGTCTGAGTCCTCAAGATACCTGATTACAACACACTGAAGACAACATGCAAACGTGAACACAAACAGGCAGGAAATACCATTTGAATCCTGACAGTCCCTGAGGATTACAGTTTCCTTCATCTTGTGCCTTTTCCAACATTCAAAGGTTTCACTTTAATTAGATCACGTGATCAACAAATGAACATGCTAATTGTAATGTGCTTGTTCAAATATGCTGTTATGTAGGCTTAATTCTTCCTATAACTTGCCCAGTGGAACAGTCTAATTACCAATACTAATTAGGCATAGTCACCGAAGATTATTATCCTTAGATCTTAGTCATAAAAGTGGAGACACAGCTTGATATTACACTTTTTTGTGATTAAACATGTCTGCTGTTGAGGAATTTACTTCTATCTAGAAATGTCTAATTTTCAGATCACCCTCAGCGCCCCCTTCATGAAACCTTTCCAGAGGCCACATTGGAATTAGCAGCCACCTCCCACCTTCTGCTCCTCTTTAGCCCTCCATGGGGATATGGCTCCTGGATGGGCTCAGGAGTACTTCATTATATGCTTGTTTATGTCCCTTGTGAATTCTGAGCTGCTTAACCATCCTGATGGGGCATAAAGAGAATGTGGGGGACTTAGAGCCCAGATGTGGAAACACTGCACTTAGCATTCATCCGTTCTGGTCACAGAACCTCAGATGGACATGGATGGTTCTGGCCTGGATGTTCCCTTCTAGCTTCCTTTCTGATAAACTACTCTCCCCAAATTATGAGTCTGAAAATCCAAATTCCTTAGGATAATCAGAGGAATCTGAGAAGCTGTGCGTGGCTTTCACCAAGGGAGTGGACAGGAAGAATCTGGATTAACTATGCCTGCCCCAGTTTGCAGCTTTACTTTCTTTAAATTGGAATATGATTGATATCAAGCTAACTTTCATATCTAGCTAGAAAGCCTATTTCCATAAACTGCTTCCTGATTGACATGTAATAGGTGTTTCCAAAGTAAGCTTAGTGGAAACAACAGTGGTAATATTCAAAATAACTAGTTAGAGGAATAGTCTGGAAATCAGAACAGCTCCTTCATAGCATGAGGCATTGCTCTATGGCACTAGGGCTTAACCTTTTAGCTCTCAGATCAAGGAGAAACCCAGGAGGCCCCCACGGGAGTGTGCAGAGATGTGGGCCTGGGTCCCTCCAGTTGAGTGGCAGTGCTGGAACAGACACCCAGGTTCTTGTCAGAGAAACATTGCTTCTTTACTCTGCTTTGCCAACTTTCTGTCAGACCACCTGTATAATCTCACTGAGCCTCAGTTTCTTCCCACTTTGCAGGATTTTGGTGATAATTAAATGAACCCACATGTGGTATATTCCTGGAAGAGTGCCTGGAATAAACAAATGCCCAGTCCGTATATATGGTACCAGGTGCTCTTGTTTACTACCATTAAAATACAGCAAGAGAAGCTGGATATGGTAGCACATGCTTATAATCTCAGCAGTTGGGACACTGAAGCAGGAGGATCAGCTTGGGCTACACAGGGAGACCCTGTCTCAAATAAATCAATAAGTAAACAAAGTAAGTAATGCAGACACTTGTCTCGGTACTGTAGTATAGTAATAATTGTGGGTTATATAAGAGAACGTGAGTTAGTGTTGCTGTCATGTGGCTTACTTCTGTGGAGGAGGAGAATAGCAGGATTTAAGGGGAATGGGGAAGCTTTGTTCCTGGACCTAAAGCTATAAGAAAGCCTTCCTTCCTTTAGATTTCAGTAGCTATATAAGCTACTCTTAATCTTTGGGAGCTAATTTTCTGATTTGTTAGCATTTTTAAAGACATGGACATTATTGTGACGAAGCTTAACTATCCATGATCTTCTGAAAGGCATGAGTAAGAATCTTGAGCTTCTTAGCCTATGAATAAAAGAGCTGCTGTGTATGCATTTCCCTGGATGAGTCTGTCTCCTTTGACAACTCCTTTGCATTGTGCTGATAAATTCTTTAAACCATCATCTGGATAGGTATTGGGTCTCATGATATGCATATCTCTATTGAGAAGGATGATCTGAGTATAGTCAGTCCCATGATACAAAGAAAAGTAGGCCATGCAAACCCAGGCAAAGGTAGCCACCCATCTCTGCAGTGCTCCCGTGCAACTCAAATCAGCTGCGTTTTGTCTTACTTTACAATTGCGTTCAACATTCACCATTCACTGTGGCTGTGTGTACTCAGCAATCAGTCATTGAAGTGAGGGTCCTAAGGCCTTACCAGAGTTTCCCTTCTGAGCCTCATATTCACTCATTAACTGTGTGGTTAGCAAGCTAACTTGGGGTGGGAGTAGGGGTGAGTGTCTAATAGTCTAAAGTAATAAATTAACTGATGGGTTATACCTTCTTACTTTAAGACCAAAGGATTTAGACAGACTGTGACTTTGAAAAGAGTGCTTCCATGAAGCAAAGGGAAAAGGAAGAAATGGATGGAAGATGAGCTGGCAGCTTCTTGAATGCCTCATTCAGATATCACAAACTTCCCAGAACTGATTTTGTTATTTCCCTTTAGATAGCTGACAAACTCTTACAAATCCCTCTGAACTAGCATTTGTCACACCTAACATTTCATCCTGACAAAGATTTTAGACTGGGCTTACTGGGGTAGAAGAGTTCCTGGCATTTTAGAAGAAAATGTCCCTTAACAGCGACAGCGAGATGAGTGACCTCTACCTAACACCTTGTTTTCTATTTGTTTCCCATAGGAATCAAAGCCAACTATGACGAACTTCCTAAACTCCTAAGTGTTCTCTGACGAGCAAAACTAGACACCCCCTATTTTATCTTTAACTCTTTGTCAACTCTAAGTCCACCTTCCCCAGTTCTGAAGGAAAGATCAGGCCTTTCAAGGGGGACTAGAAAGAAAGAATCCACAGAATATTCTGGAGGGGTCTTTGGGGTCTGATCTAAGTGCATGGCATCTGCTACAGGCAGGTACTCAAAGCAGTCTGTGGTCCTCCTTTACCTGGGAACCCTTGGCTTGGACTTCAATCTCAGCTTTGGCATAGTGCTACACTGGACACTCATACCAAACGCACTCCATTGAGTCAAGTTCCAAGATTCCTCTGTGAGAGATTTCTAATTCCTATCCACTGTCTACCCATCCTCACAGACAAAAATGGAAAAGTCCATGTTATACTGCAAGCGATGGTGGAGGAAATAACTTCCCATCACCCTTTGCAGTTGATCATGGAGGTCAAAGGTATCCAGGGAAGCTTCTTTCCAATTTGAAAGCTGATTATTATATTCTGAAGGGTAGGTTTTTTAAGTGGGGATTTCCCCCATGCAAAACACCAGGGTGTATTTTGTTCCTTGTTCATTTGCTGTTACATGTGCCATTTGCTCCCAACTTCTGATGTGTTTCTTTGTTTTCTGTGTGTTGCAGGCAGCATAGTGTACCTCGGGATGATGGTGGGGGCGTTCTTCTGGGGAGGACTGGCAGACAAAGTGGGAAGGAAACAGTCTCTTCTGATTTGCATGTCTGTCAACGGATTCTTTGCCTTCCTTTCTTCATTTGTCCAAGGTTATGGCTTCTTTCTCTTCTGTCGCTTACTTTCTGGATTCGGGTAAGGTTTTCTCTTTCATTTTTATAGTAATATATTTATTCATGATTGTACATGTTCTTTGCTCTGGAAGATCTCATTACCAAGAAATGATCTCCTAACACATCTACTCTATTTTAGAAGCTATAATGTTGATTCTTGGAAATGTAATGGTCAACCATTAAGTTTGGGCAAGAAGTGAAACATACCTCTTGCCTTGTGGCTCATGTGTTTTGTATTGACTGCTAGAAAGTTGGTATTATTTTAAGAAGAATGTTACTTCCAAGGCAGAGAACATGCATACATGTATGTTTCTTTGAAGGCTTACATTAGAAAGCGCTTTACCTATTATGAACGCATTAAAAGTCTAAAGTATGTAGGGATAGTCTTAAGTCTAGGATTACAATGTCTCAAATAATAACCATGGTATTATTGATCTGTGCTACCTGTGTATATTTAACTAAGGAAGAAACCTGCTTTATGAGATGTAATAATATTTTCCACGGTAAATTCCTGATTTCTGTTGAATTAAAAGATACTGGGTTATTAGACAAAGATAGTGACATGAGAGCCAATGATGCCATTTTCTTTAAAAAGATGAAGCCCTTATTACTTCTCTGAGTCCACAGCTTAAGAAAACTCCTGATTTCAGGAGTAGGGGAAATTTCATTTTAAAAAGGAAAATGATTTTCAAATACTAATGCTTGAGAATTTTTTCAAGGTATTGCTAGACATTATATTTTTAAAAATTGAGCTGGGTACAGGTGGTTTACACCTGTAATTCTAGCTATTCAGAAGGCTGAGATCTGAGGATAACATTCATAGCAGGAAAGTCTGTAGGACTTTTATCCCCAATTAACTAACCAAAAGTGGTAATTGGAGCTGTGGCTCAAGTGATAGAGCACCAGCCTTGAGCCCAGGCCCATTTCAACATTATTACAACTGAAGCCAGAAATTCGAATTCTCAAACTAGAGATCTTAAACGAAAGATCATGCTATATCTACATATTTAATCAGTTCCTTCCACCTACATCAGATGCAATTTTTAAACTGAGGACTGAACAGTGAAGGAAAGATATGATATGATGGCTCTTTGTGAGCCTATAGTTCTCAAACCTCCAACAACCCCATACATTTGCTCTCCTTCTGCCTTTGAAATTTCTTTCTTTTTATAATTTTGAAGTTATTTATCAATTATTATTATCTTTAAGTAGTTGTACAAAGGAGTTGCCATTTATTTTTTTTTATTGTGAAAATACCATACAGAGGGGTTACAATTACATGGGCAAGGTAATGCGTACATTTCTTATCAAGCATTATTGCCTCCTCCTTTGTTTTCCCTTCCCATCCCTTCCATCCCACCCCCCCCCCTCCCCCCCCACCCCCCCCCCCCCCGGGCCAAAGTTGTAAAGTTCATTTTTCGATATAACGTCTTATACATCTCATTGTTGCAATGGATCCACCTGTAAGGAGTTGCCATTTAAGAAAGCAGTTTGTGAATATAATAAATCCTTGCTCTTGCCACCCCCAAGAGCACCTCAGTGGTGACTCCTACCACATGCCTGCAGATACTCACTTCTTATGTGTTTCTTTCTCTCTTCCACTAGCATATAAATTCCAAAGGGCTGGAAATACCTGTTGTGTTGATACAATTGGCCCTTGGAATCTGTGGGGCATTGGTTCCAGGACACCACATGAAGACAAAGTCTAGAGATATTCAAGTCCTTTATGCAGATAGCCTAATATTTACACATGATGTGCACACATCCTCTCCTATGATTTAAATCATCTCTAGATTATTTCCAATACCTAATATTATATAACTGCTAAGGTTTTAAGTTATGAGTGAGAACTCTACTTACTCTGTAGGTTGTAAATAACAATCATATCATTTATAAGGAGATAATGATTTTAAAAAGGCTGTACATTTGCAATTATGGACAACTTTTTAGAAAATTTTCAATCCATGGTTAATAGATCCAAGGATTTGGAATCTGGCTAGAAAGGGCACCTGTGCTGTTTAATGGCCTGGGAGAAGATAGGCTAGTAAAAGACAGAAGTGAGAAGTCTGAGCCTGCAGACCTGCGGCCCTGGCTGGTTTTCTATGATGCCCCTGGAAGTGAAATAGGAAGCCTAGCAAACTCCTACTTGAACTCTGTAGATTCAGATCAAGTGATTGAAAACTAATGAGTCAAAAACAGAAAAGCATGACCCCTCCGTCAATTCCCAAGCCAGAGCCACTTTACAGACTCAGACCCCTTTGAATGAGAGGGAGATCACATCCCCATGAGAAAGAATGCCACTACACTGCCAAAAAAGATGATTCTGTTAATATTTTTCCAGCCTTCCCTAAAGGGATCAAAAGCCTTTTAACCAGGATGATGGTGCTTCAAGGGAAGAAAATCAGGCCTCTCAGAGCTTACTGGACACTGGCTCTAAACTGACATTAATTCCAAGAGACCCAAAATGTCACTGTGGCCCACCAAATAGCATAAAGTCTTTTGGAAATCAGTGGCCAGTGATTTTAGCTCAGGTGTGTCTCAAGTGGACCAGGAACTGAGCTACTGGCTCCATTGTGCTGAACTCCACTGTTCTGGAACACAGCATCAAGAGACTTGCCCAGTAGCTGACAGATACTTACTCCGGGAGAGCACCTGCCCCTCCATTCCACTCTCAAAGAATTTTAGCACATGGAAAAGTTCTAGGTTGTCCAGCCCTTCTATTTGTGGTTTAGAATCAGAAATTACTCAGCTAAGAGTTACATTTTATTTAAGTTCTCTTAACTTGCAACTCCATAGTAAAAAACAACAACTAAAACAAAACAACCTGAACATTGTGGAACCAAGGCTTGGATGTCTTGTTGGTGGTTTTGCTATATCTCATCCAGTTGCTCTGCTAATAAAGCTCTCTTGGTAGCCCTGCACCATCTTCCCAGTTCTGCACAAAGGGGCCTGGAAGAAGGGCTTATTTGGTGCTTGTTTTAGATTGAGATTTCCCTGAATTTCATTGTTTTCAAATATGCTTTCCTTTTCATTTGTTTGTAGAGGGTTCTTTGTGTTTGTCTGTCATAGCAAGGTCTTTGTGTTTGTCTGTCATAGCAAGGTCTTAAGCATGTGATCTTCCTGCCTCAGTTCCCCAAATGCTGAGATTACAAGTGTGCTCCAGCACACTCAGCTTTGTGACTTTTCTCCTAACTCATCAAGTCATGAGAATGTCTTCTATGAAACATGAATGTCCAGCTGACTTATTCATTCTGGGTGACTTTAAGTATTTATTCCATGCAAACACAGATTTCCTTGTCAGGGATACCAGTGCTGTGTGGGAATGAAGCACAGGTCCTCACCAATTACTCCTTTGTCTTTCACTTTCCTAAGTGAATCTTACACCAAGAGCAGACACATCCCTCCCTCTTTAGTTACAGCAAATTAGAAAGATGGGAAATGGACTTGGCACCACTGATTCATTTTCATCTGTCCCAGAATTAAATTATTTGTTTCCAGTCACTGTTAATTATGGGAATGATAATGCTTTGGATGCCAGGCAGTATCAGAATCAGGAACTGCTCACTGAGGACCTGGCATTGCTAAGCATGAAGGTCAGGAGGGAAACAGAAGAGCAACGGGAATTAAAATGAAATTTCTGTTCAGATTTGGTAGTGCGCATCTGTAGCCCCAGCTGCTCAGGAAGTGAAGACTGGAGGATCAAGAGTTTGAGGCTGGCCTGGGCAGTTAGCAAGACCCTACGTTAGAAGTAAACTACAAGTGGAGGGCTGGAGTGTGACTATGAATGAAAGGAGTATAAAATAGTTTCTGTTGAGGTGAGAAACGGTGGAGAGATGAGAACAAAAGTAGAGGGGATGGAGTTGTTGTTGTTTTGTTGTTGTTGTTTGGGCTTTTAAGGGGAGCAAAGCAGGGACACAGAAAAGGAGGGAAAAAGGGTGAAAAATGCAACCATGCTCGATTCAAAGTATACTATGTGGGAAATGACCTATATAACTTGTGGGCAGGGATGGTGGGGGAAACTGGGGGAAAGAGAAGGAAGGAGTGACATTGTCCCAAAAAAGTAATGTACTCATTACCTGACATGAAATGGCCATCCCCCTGTCTGCACAACACTATGGGAGGGCGAATGTATCTAAAGAAGTATTTTATGCACATGTGTGAAAACAGAACAATGAAGTCTGTTGAAATTGTTTTTATAACAGGGAGAGGGAATGGAGGAAAATGGTAGGAGGGGTGAATTTGATTGAGACACATTGTATGCATATATGAAAATATCACAGTGGAGCTCCTTTGTACAATGACCATATCCTAATAAAAATGTAGTAAAAAAAATAAATATGTGTGATAAAGAGGTAGCTCATCCACAAAAGTACAAAACAAGAGAACAAGAGCATTTGCCTAGTGTGTATGAGGCCCTGGGCTCAACTCTAGTACAGAAAGAAGGAGGGAGGGAAAGAATGAAGCTGGAAAAGAAGGAAGGAAGGAACAAGGGAGGAAGGAAGGAAGGAAGAAAGGAAGGAAAGAGGGAGGGAAAAAAGGACCAAATTATGTTTACAGAGCAATACATTTACAGATCAATATTTTTTAAATAGCTGAAGGTTTCTACCAATTATTCTGCTTACACTTGACATAATATTGGGGGCATTAACTGCTTCCTGTATCAAGGAATATTTTTATTGTAACTTTGGAAATTAAGAACCAGTGCCACCCAAATCATAGGTCCTTTAGCATTACCAGTGGGCAGAGAAAATGTCCTGTCCTTGACTCATTGGTGAGTTCCATTCCTAGTGAGTGTGCTTCTCCTGATGGTTTCTGGGCCTTGCAATTAATGCAGCACTCTTGGTTTCTCTACCAACCCCACCTGTCCAGAAATGGTTAGCCTGTGCTCTTCTGTCTCACTTCAGCACAATGTCCTCAGGAGTTGTGATAGCCTGTTTGCTCTCCTAAAACAGATGGTGATTAAAAAAAAAAAAAAAAAAAAAAAAAAAGGTCCACCTTTGGGGCTGCTACATGCTACTGGAGAATTAAAACAACCTCAGTACTAGTAGTCATCAGACATTCCATAATTTCTCTCTAGCATTATAGCATACTTCTAGTCATATTGAGGAAATTATTCTTTCTTTTTTTTTTTTGCCTTTTACCTCCCTCCTTCACTTCAGAATTCTAAACTTCCCTTTTCCTGAACAGGCAGTGTACGTGGCAGTTTTCCATTACTGTAATGAAATACTTGAAATGGTCAACTTAAGAAGAGAAGAGGTTTCTTTGGGTCCACAGTTTTGGAGATCTTAATGCATGGTTGTTGGCTGTCTTGCTTTAGGCCTGTGGTTCGGCATTGTATCATGGCAGGGAGGCTGTGGTAGGGCACACTGCTCACCTCATGTCCTCTGGGAAGTGAAAAAAGAAAGGGTTCAGTTCCCAATGTGCTCTTCAAGGATGTACTCCCCGATTACCATTCTCCCTCCCACCAACTTCCACCACCTCCCAAAAGCTCCAAAGACTGGGAGGGACCAGGCTTTGGGAAATTTATCCAAGCTAGGGCAGCCAGCATGAGGTGCAGAGCAAACAGAACCCACCAAGCTCCTAGGTCAGCTTTGTGCAAACACTAATCTTCTCTGTCTTCCATTGCCTAGTGGGCTAACTTAATTTGACTATGTCTCACATTTCCCAACAGATGAGAAATTTCATCTTGGAAGCTGACTCATCCTTTGCGCTACACAATATCCCACTCATGACTTTGTTTAGATTATTGAGGAAAATATGTAAATATAAACTGTGACCTTAATCTTAAAACTTACTTTTTTTAACTTTAGTTTTCCTGTATTAATTTATTGTTTAAATCCTGTTTACTATTTGTTAAAAATTCAATCCTAAACCAGGTAATCTCTGGATTATCTTTTTTTTTTTTTTGACAATACAGTTACTTCTTCCACATTGGGTGATATGTACATACCCACTCATTCATAATGGCCATACATCACAACTATCATGTATGCCTCCTCTCAAATAAAAGAACCCAGATATAACATGCCCAACTTGAAAAGGTAAATTATCAGAGATGTAGATGAAAAAAATCAAATACCTATTTATAGTAGTTTACTGATTCATCAAGCTCTATATACATCTAAGCCACATGACAAAATAAATTACTGCTTTCTAAAACTAATATTTTGTGAATATTTTACTCAAATTTCTTGAACATGTTTTTTCAAACAAGGTCTTTGGTCTCCTTAAGGCCACATTTTGAGGCATCAGCAATATTCTGTAGAACATATATGTGCGTTTTTTCCATTTAAGTTGAAAATTTTAAAGTCACGTACATGGTAACTACTGAAAAAAAAATTCAAACCAAAAAATATTTTTTAAAAAAAGGGGCTTTTTTTTTTTAAAAAAGGGGGGGCTGGGAAGGTGGCTCAGTGGTAGAGCGCTTGCCTTGCATGCCTGAGGCCCTGAGTTCGATTCCTCAGCACCACATAAGCAAAAAGAAAAAAGCCAGAAGTGGCACTGTGCCTCAAGTTGTAGAGTGCTGGCTTTGAGCATAAAAAGGCTTAGGGACAATGCTCAGGCTTTCCAAACAAAAAAATAAACTGTGACAATTTACCAGATACCTACCAGTGAGTCACACACAGACTGCAGATGTATTTCAATAGCTAATGTGTGTGTGTGTGTGTGTGTGTGTGTGTGTGTGTGTGTGTGTGTGTGCGTGTACCTGTGTGTGTATAAGGGGACATCCCAATTTGTTTTAAGTGTTTTAATATAAAAGTTTAATAATGGTGTTAAAAACTTAAAATTGTTATTTATTAAAATTAGTATTACTTTTATTAAAATTATTTATTACCTTAATTCTGAAGTACCAAATACAATATTCAATGCCACTTTTTAAATCATTTTTGAATCTGAATAATTTTCCTTTATGTTATGAAATTTCAATGATTAATCCTTCCATACCACCTTTAACCAAGGATAATTAAGATTTGACAATATTTTGACAGCTAATGAAATAGAGTTAATATATGGTACTGAAAAAATTCTTTATAAATCACTTTGTTTTGACTCTCCATTTATATTACTAGTCCATCAAAAGTTAACTTGAATCAGTTACTGGTGGTTCTTACATATAATCTTAGCTACTGCGGAGTCTAAGAACAGAAAGATGGTGGTTTGAGAAGAGAAATTCAGAAAGCCCCATGGCACCCATACCCCGGTTCACTGGCATATGTTTATCATCTCAAGCTCTAGAGGAAGCTGAGATTGGGAAGACTGGGGTACCAGGCCAACCCAGGCAGAAGAGGCTCTGTCTTCACAAAGGGAAACCGGATGCAGTGACACATACTTTGTCATCCCAGTGATGATGGAGAGCCTAAAATAAGTGTATCACAACTAAGGTACCTCTCTGGACAGGAAGCAAGAATCTAGCCTTAAAATAACCAGTGAATGGCAGCATTGGTGATACAGCTCAATGGTATTGCAGCATTCTAGTAAGCATGAGGCCCTGAGTTCAAACCTCCAATTAACTTGAAACAACAGCATGTACCCAAACAGATTTCAATAGTAGCTGTTATTATGTAATAGATCCACTATTACATAATACATAAGCTTTCCATATTAACTGGATTGTAAAATGTAAAAGATAAGCACTTTATACCTTGCATTATGAATTTTAAAATATGGATGCCTGACTCCCATCCTTAGCAGTCTTTGTATTTTGGCTAGAAGATTCTTTGGGTGGGTTGCTGTCTTAGCCATCCCAGCCACGGTAGGATGTGTAGCCTTCTCCCTGGCCCCTACCTATGTGATGCCTTTAGCTCCTCCCTGAGTTATGCCAACCAAAATTATCTCCAAGCACCACCAAACACCGTCAAGGGTGGGGCAGATGCAGAGAGCAGAAGGGTGTTGAAAACTCAACTTTATTGAAAAACTACTGACACATGGACATGTGAGAACTTACATTGACATATTTTAAAAAAATCTCTTTATGTAGTTTTAGAAACTAACTTAACGCAACAAACAATATAACTAACCAAAAAAGTGAGATGCATTAGCCTGTCTCATAAAATATTTAGATAGAATAACAGTAGGAAACTTCCTAAAATCAGTTAACTCTGGCGCTGTATTGTAGCAGTTGTTTTCTGCCCTGGACACTTACTATAGGAAACAAGTTATTGTAAGTCAGAAGAGCCTTTGGCCTTCCTTCCTGTCCAGATATTTTTATCCATGATCAGGATAGCAGCTACATTTTCCCTAAAGACACATAGGTACTTTGGAAGCCCAGGAATGACCAATAGGATTTCACAGTGTCCTCTGACCAGTGTTAAATTAACCCTCTCCATGATAAGGACCACTGGGACATCTGGGTAAGAGGTAACCACAGACACTAAGGTGGAAGGTCCATGGGAATTCTTTGGGAGCTGCCTTTCCATCCCAGCATCCTCAGCCTCTTGTGTGGTCTTAGGAAGTGGTGTACATAATCATTGATTGACATACTTTAAGTTATCAGAAGGCTCCACGATGGAGTAAACACATTTTATTCTTTGATATCAAATTTGTTTGAAATGTCATTTACATTTCAATGTAATGTGATTTGTATTATAGAAATCTAACACAAATGAAGCAATAAGATACCTTTCGATGATATCACCAGAGGCTCTCTCTCTAACCTGCTATGTGGCTGCAAATTTTTAAAATATATAGACATATTTAAGAGTTCACATATGTTTGGAACAGATCTCGCTGAAGCTATGATGAAATCCAAAGCTCACCTCCCCTAGAATGAATGGAATTTTGACTCCGAAGACCCTGGTTTCAGAACTCCTCACCTGAGTAGAGGTCACTCAGTGGATATGTTATCTCTCCAGGGCTCAGTCAGCAGCCCTTGTAATGACCTCTAGTGGAAGGAAGCATTATAGCCCATTCTCTTGGTGTATACTTGATGGTGTCCAGATGATTTTCTCAATATCCTTGTGTTTGCACAAACTCAGCTGTGGTGTTCATGGGATGAGACCAGAGCCCATCTAAGAAGTCGCCCTTTTGATTGGGTGTTTGTCAATGTATTAGCCTGACAGGGCTGCAGGACCAGCTGTGGTGGGGTAGCAATGGGTACGGGTTGCAGATGGTCCCCTGCGGGTATTTGCAGCTAGGTTCAAAGTTCTTACCTCATGGGCAGAACATAGTACAGTCTCTCTCTTTTTAAATGAGCTAGTTAGAATATTCACTAGATATTATATATATATATATATATATATATTTTTTTTTTTTTTTTTTTTTTTTTTTTTTTTTTTTTACAGTCCTGGAATTTGAACTCAAGGTCATATGCTTACTCAGTTTGCTTGCTAGACTGGTGCTCTACCACTTGAACTTGGTCTCCAGCCCTGGTTTTTACTAGTTATTTTGGAGACACATTTGCTTTGTGAACTTTTCTTCCTGCTTTGAACCACATTCTTGCAGGTGGAGACCTGCAAGAATGGATTACAGATGTGATCCACCACTAATTACATCACTCAATTCTTGTAACTTTGTATAAATAACATACTATACTGAGTAGAAAACTCGTTTGACTCTCAAGCTAAACTGTGAACCACATAAGTAGGGCACCATTACCACCTTATAACCATACCCACTAATTGTAGGTTTGAGGTTTTTGCAGGGAGGAGAAAAATGGCACGTAATATTGAACATTGAGACTACACTATTAAAATTATAAAATGATAGAAGACCCTCACTCTTTCATGTGCTGCGTGGTGACAGGAATGTTTCACTGTAGTTTGTTTTGGATTGCCCTTTGCTCCTCACATAAACTGTCCAGATCCCAACTTCATGTGTTCTCTGTGTCCCTCACAGGATTGGAGGAGCCATTCCCACAGTCTTCTCCTACTTTGCTGAAGTGCTGGCCCGGGAGAAACGGGGTGAGCATCTCAGCTGGCTCTGCATGTTCTGGATGATCGGTGGCATCTATGCTTCTGCCATGGCCTGGGCCATCATCCCACATTATGGTAAGGAGCTAGCCTTGCACAGCCAGGGGATATCTGGTTTTGATTTAGTTTTCACATCCACCTCCACTTTCCTCTCTTCCGCGTGCTGTCTTAATGACAACTCTGTGCTCACCGTGTTTCTCCTTTGCGAGTACCAAAAGGATTTACTTTGTGTATAAACATCTGTGTAAAGCAAGAGAATGTCAGCTGGTCCTTTATGTATAGAACCTTCTTTTATATATATGTGTAAGAGGAAAAGTCCTTTACTGTATACTCTTACAACTCTCCTGGTTGCACAAATGCATGAGAATGTTTTCCCCCACCAACCAGGTCTTGAACTTCACTCAGTTCCAACACTATCTGTTTGAATTTAAAGTCCTGTCCTGCAGATTAAAGATGCAAATCCACAGGACTTTACCCCTTTACATGCAAATTCCAAGCCCAAGCCTCTGGAACTTCTGACTGACCAGCAATGAAGTTGATCTTCCCATAGTCCTTGCCTCCTCTTTGAGCTCCATCATTTGCTAGAATGGTTCACAAATCTCAGGGAACCTCTGAACTTGAATTTTCCAGTTTATTTTCAAGACTATCACAAAGATGCAGATGAGCAGTCAGATGAAGATGTACCTAGGGTAAGGTGACCTCTTGTCTCTCATTTTAATGTCTTGCTTGTTTGGCTGGTGCTTTACCACTTGAACCATGCCTCTAGCCCCTTTTGTTCACTTTAGTAAACATTAGAATTGACTAAAAAGCAAAGAAAAACCAAAGGAGGCATGGACAAAGTAGTTTATTTTATATCCCATAAGACTTGGGAAATTGCAAGACTGGTGTGAGAGCTCACAATCGAGAACCCTAGATCCTCTTCCCACACACTCTAACAAGTAGGCCAATAGGCAGGGATGCCCAAAATACAAAGGAGGTATAAGGATATGCCTTAAAGGCTACCCAAATCCATTTATATCTCATTGGGGAGAACTTTAACCCACGACCAGCAAAGAGGGGGTAAGTTGGGCTAGAATGGAAGACACAATTACTGTCTATGCTGCCATATCTCACTCTGCCTCTGGAGAATCTATTAAAAATATATTTCATAATCCATTTCAATTCACCCTCTGTATTAATTAGTTTGGGAATAAAAATAACAGAAAATAGGTTTGGTTCACTTCACTAGAACAGGAATTTTTTAAAAGCTATTGGGCAGCTCACAGAATGGTTGGGAAGGCCTCAGTAGCACCAACAATAATAATAATAATGATTTTGAAAAATGGATGACAATGGATGGTGAGGATACAGAGGAAATGCATTTTTCTTTTTCTTTTTTTTTTAATTTTATTTTATTTTATTTGAGAACATACTGTACAGAGGGGTTACAATTACATGGGCAGGATAATGCATACATTTCTTACCAAGCATTGCAGCCTCCTCCTTTGTTTACCCTTCACCTCCCTTCCCAGCCTCCCCCCTCCCCCCCACCCAATCATACCCCCCTCCCCCCCCCACACCGACATTGTAAAGCTGGTTTTGACATGACATTTTGTACTTCTCATTGTTGCAACAGGTCCACCTGAATCCTTAAACGACTTGTTTGTCCCCATCTCCTCCACATGTTATACTGACATCAAATATAGTGAAAGCGGGGGTTACACTGTGGGGGAGGGACATACAAAGCAACAAAGAAATAATCTTATAAATGCGTTAGAAACACATGCATGAAAGAAACAAAAACATTAAAATACATATTTGAGGGTTCGTTTTCCTAACATCACATTATCTGACTTTTTCCGCTTGACTCATACCTATACTAGATATTGCAAATAAGGGAAACCATGGGACCTATGTTTCTTTGGGCCTGGCTTACTTCACTTAATATAATTTTTTCCAAGCCTTTCCATTTCCTAACAAATGGGGAAATGTCATTCTTTCTGATGGAGGCATAGAATTCCATTGTGTATATATACCACATTTTCTTGATCCATTCATCTACTGAGGGGCATCTGGGTTGGTTCCGTATCTTAGCTATGGTAAATAATGCTGCAATAAACATAGTTGTGCTGGTAGCTTTAGTGTGGTCTTTTTTGTAAACATTAGGGTAAATGCCCAAAGGTGGGATTGCTGGGTCATAGGGGAGTTCTATGTGACGTCTTTTGAGGAACCTCCATACTGCTTTCCAAAGTGGTTGAACAAGTTTACATTCCCACCAACAATGAAGTAAGGTTCCTTTCTGTCCACATCCCCTCCAGCATCTGTTGTTGTTAGAGTTCTTGATTTTTGCTGTTCTAACTGGAGTGAGGTGATATCTCAATGTTGTTTTGATTTGCATTTCTTTTATGGCTAGGGATGTTGAACATTTCTTCATGTGTCTATTGGCCATCCTTCTTTCTTCTTCAGAGAAGCTTCTCTTTAAGTCTTTCGCCCACGTACTTATTGGGCAGTTGTTTCTTTGAGGATTTGTTGTTGGGTGGTTTAATTTTTTGAGTTCCAAGTATATTTTAGATATGAGACCCTTGTCCGTTGTATGGCTAGTAAAGATCTTCTCCCAATCCGTGGGCTTTCTATTGATCTTGCTAGCTATGTCATTTGCCCTGCAGAAGCTCTGCAACCTTATGCAATCCCATTTGTCCAACCTTTCTTTGATTTGTTGTGTTTCCGGGTCTCTATTCAGAAAATTTCGGCCTGAGCCAAGGAGACCCAGGGTTTCTCCTATTCCATCCTGTAATGTTTTCAGAGTGTCTGCTTTGAGTTCAAGGTCTTTGATCCATTTGGAGTTGATTCTGGTGCAGGGTGATATATAAGGATCTAGCTTTAGTTTTCTACATGTAGTTCACCAATTTTGCCAGCACCATTTACTGAAGAGGCTGTCTGTCTTCCATTCTATTGTTTTAGCTCCCTTATCGAAGATTAGATGGCTATAGGTCTGTAGGTTCATTTCTGGGTTTTCAATTCTATTCCATTGGTCCTGAGGTCTGTTCTTATGCCAATACCAAGCTGTTTTGATTACTATGGCTTTATAGTAGAGTTTGAAATTTGGTATTGATATTCCTCCAGCAGTGTTCTTTCCGTTGAGGAGCGTTTTTGCTATTCGGGATCTTTTATTGTTCCATATGAATTTTTGGATTGCCTCTTCTATTTCCTTGAAGAATGAGGGTGGAATTTTGATAGGTATTGCGTTGAATTTGTAGATAGCCTTGGGAAGTATTGCCATTTTCACGATGTTAATCTAGGAAATGCATTTTTCATGCGTGGCTGAGAGAATACAAAACAATGCAGCTACTATGGAAAATACATCAGCAGTGTCTTAAAGTTGAAATATACACCTAACATCACCCAGCAGCTGCACTGCTGGGAAGAAATGGAAATGTGTGTCCATCTGAAAACTTACTCACGATTCTTCAAAACACCTTTTATGGTAATTGCCGAAAACTACAAACTTAAATGGCCTTAATACAATGGAATGCTACTACCAATGAAAAGAAAGAAATGAACAATTCAATAATGTGTGGACCTTTAGGATATATTTCTGAGTGCAAAATCTAATTTCAAAGGATTATTTATATGACATTTTAGGAATGGAAATATAAGAGATGGAAAACAAGTTAATGGTTACCAGGGCATCATGGTGGTCAGGGAAGGGGCATGCCTGTGGCTATAAAGTAGTCACATTGGGAAGTTCTTGGTAGGCTACATCACTACATATGTGATAAAGTAATGTAGGACTGTATATGGTTGACCCTTTGTCCTCATGGGTTCCACATTTATGGAATTGATCAAGTATGGACCAAAAACATTTGGGAAAATGCACCCGCACTTCACATCTACAGATATTCTTCTTTTTTTGGGGGGGGGGGGTCCAGTCATGAGACCTGAACTCTGGGCCTGGGTGCTGTCCCTCAGCTCTTCAGCTCAAGGCTAGCACTCTACCACTTGAGCCACAGCGCCACTTCCAGCTTTTTTTTCCTGCTTTTGTGTGCTGAGGAATCGAACCCAGGGCCTCATGCATGCAAGGCAAGCACTCTACCACTGAACCACCTTCCTAGCCCATACAGATATTATTCTAAACATTTCCCTAAATAGTATGACATTACAACTACTTACATAATATCTGCACTGTATTAGGAGTTCTAAGTAATCTAGAGGTGATTTAAAGTACTCAGGAGGGCACCTGCGGGCTATGTGCAAATACTAAGCTAAGGGCTTAATCATCCACAGGTTTTTGTATCCAAAGGGGCTTATGGAACAACTCCTCTGCAGATATAGTTTTATACCTGTGCTAATATCACATGGTACTTTCCTACTTTCAAAATTGTTCTATGGTTCTGTAGAATTAGCCATTGAGGGAAACTCAGTCACCTGTACATGGGATTTCTCTTTGCAACTTTACATGAATTTATGATTATTTCAAAATTGAAAGTATAAATAAACTTTGAGTAATACACTTTGGAAGATAATTTTCCATATATTCTCTCACTTATTCTAATAATCTTGAGAAACAGCAATAGGGTTATTACCTTTTTTTAAGGGAGAACTTATTGCATAGAAAGCTTGTCATTTCTCAGCCAGGCACCAATGGTTCACACCTCTAATCTGAGTTACTCGGGAGGCTGAGTTCTGAGGATTAAGGTTTAAAGCCAGCCCGGGCAGAAAAGTATGGGAGATTATTATCTTTGACCAGCAAAAAAACTGGAAGTTGAGTATGGCTCCAGCATTAAGAGGAAAAAGCTAAGAACTAGCACTCAGGCTCTGAGTTCAAGCTCCAATACTGACACAAAAAGAAAAGAAAAGAAGCTGAGATCTGAGAAACGTGGTTCAAAGCCAGCCCAGGCAGGAAAAGTCCATGAGACTTTTATCTCCGATAACCACCAGAAATCTGGAAGTGGTACTGTGACTCAAGTGGAAGGGTACTTGCCTTGAGCTGAAGAGCTGAGGAACAGTACCTAGGCCCAGAGTTCAAGCTCCAAGGGAAAGAAAGAAAGAAAGAAAGAAAGAAAGAAAGAAAGAAAGAAAGAAAGAAAGAAAGAAAGAAA